CACCCTGTTTAACGTGAAGGCTGGACTCGAACCGCTGAAGCGTCGACCATTTCTGGCCGGCAACTTTCAGCGTCATTAAGCCGCTGTGCCACAAATATACATTGTTTAAAATCCTTCCTGTTTACGCTCCTCAAGACTTGTTAAATGCCTATATTTCAATAAGGCCTGTGAATCATGATATAAGCCCAGTCCCTCATTGCTGTTATAGTTCAACATTTTGACCAGATGTTCCCTTTGTTCCCACTGTCCTGCTGATTGAAGCATTGTAGGAAGAAAGCCATGTTGGTCTATGATTCTTTGCTGTGGTAGCAAAATCCTGATTTTTTATGACTGATTTAAAGAAGGGATGTATAAAGAGAGGAGGGTATAGTAAGGTGAAAAGAGAAATGCCTAGACTACTTTTCTCCCAATTCTGGAATTTTAAATTAAAGTATCGTTGCCTTTTGTCCTGTCTGCAAGTGTTGCAAATTTACTTAATGCCTTCAACACCTTCCTTGGAAGGGTCCAAATGTGTCATGGGCAAAAGATGTCTTCTGGTCTTGCTTTTCCTGCTGCCTTCCGTCCATTTCCCAGAGCAGAGGCAGGTGGCCAATTTTCTTTTCTTCTGCTTCCCTATACAGGGATGTGTCAGCTGCTAACCTGGTCATCAAGAATCACCAAGGGATCAAGGCGGAGATGGAGGCACGGACCGGCAGCTTCAATGCTTGCATAGCTATGGGTGACGACCTCCTGGCTAAGGGGCACTACGCTTCCACAAAGGTTAGGAATGGGAGATTTTCTCTTCAATCAGGTCCGACCCTTGGTCCGTGGAGCTCAGTGCTGCCTTCCTAAAAAACAACAGCATTGATTAGAATTGTCACAAACTTACTTGGAGAAGTTTAATATCAAACCTAAGTCCATATGGATGGAAAACAAGTTTAATCTCTGGTGTCTCCAGTGATCACAATATCTAAGGATACAAGAAAGGCCATGCTCATCAAGCGATAATTCAACCTCCTGTTTTCCCATGGTTACTAACCAGAGGGCCCCATATGCAAGAGGAGAGTGCAAAAACACCTGTTCTGTTTGCACAATAGCATGTGTGCAATAGCTTCCCCTTGCTAATGCTCCTCAGCAACAGGTACTCGGTGCCTCTGAACATGCAGATTATACATAGCCATCTTGCCAAGGAGCCATTGATATTTTTGTGCTCTGTAAAGTTGCTTAATTCCTCTTTAGAGACAACCAGATTGGTTTGTTTCATCATGCAACAGTGAGCTTCACAGGTTAACAATGTGCAATATAGGTGACTCCTTTTGTGTTGTCTTGAAGCTCCCACCGCTCATATTAATGGTGTCCCTGTGCTAAATAGTTTGCCAGCTGAATTCCTTTCTCCTCTTCTTCCCCAACCTCCCTGTTTTGTGATTCAGATTGTGGAGAAATTGTCTCAGTTGCAGGAACGCCGCAAGGAGATCAACAATAAATGGCAAGAGAAGATGGACTGGTTACAAATAGGTATGGTGGTAGAAGACAAAGGGGGATGGAAGGAGTTTGATGATGCAATTTGGAGGGTGGGTTGTGGCAGTGGGCAGCATTTTTTTCAGGCCTTGGCATCATTGTGCTACCTTTCACAGTAAAACAGTTTCTTTCTTGGTTGTTTCGGAAATGACTTCTGGCATTATCCTGAAGATGAGATAGGATTCAGGCACAGCACCTGGGGAATTGGACTAGCAGTAATAGTTGACACCCAAGCTTTGGGTCTGATTGGGTATGGTTTCTCTTTTATTTGAAATCTCATGCCTTTTTAAGAGGTACATCCTCTCACAGTGATGCCCAGAAGAAATAAGAAACAAGTTACCAATTACAGGCGATGCCATCAAGAAGGATGTCCACAACTTCCTGTAATGTTCTTCCACTGATATATGGAATTAATCAAAAATAGCCTAAAAGGATAACCTGTCTGAAGCCTTCTTAAATGCCAGAGTTAAAGGGGCAAGGCAGAGACGGTCAGTCAAAAAGGCACCCCAAAGAAGGCATCACGTACCAACCTTACTGCTCTTAATGGCATTTAAAAAAGACCTTCCCCATTTCAAGGTAGATCTTAGCGTACAAGTGCAGGATGTTATGGGAAGAGATGACATTTCAACTAATCAGTGCCTCAAGGACTTTAGAGTCCATTTCACTTGAGTGGCTAATTAACTCAAACAAATAAATAATAAACCAGATGTGTACAATATGAGGAACCCAGTCCACATGTATCTCTGTAGGAGAAAATATGGCAATGGTCTGGGCAAGGAGAGCCAAGCAAAACATCCCCCTTTCCCAGTTATCTTCCCAGGGGCTTGAGGAACAATAAACCCTGTTGGCTCAGCTGCAGAGCACCCAGGAAATTTGATAAAACTAGGAGAGGATACTAGGAGGTGAGCACAGGCTCTGGGAACCAAGGTAACTGCCATAAATGTAACTCTCTAGAAAGCAACTACAGGTATGTTCATAGAACGCCTTCTTTGTTTTCTCAACGTATCAGGTTTTTGTACTTCAAGACCTCATAGAATCCACCCTGTATCTGACCTCACTGATAATAAGATGCTATTACAGCTAATCATATCCCACTCATATCCAACCAATTCTTTTGTTACATCCAATTGTGCACATACTCTAATTTACATAACTATATAGAAGGACCGCATTCCACCCTTTTTTAGGTTTGCCTCTGTTGCCTCCAGTACCGTAGTAAACAATCTATGCTTCAACAAAGTTGTCTTCTGTTAGTCTCTGGTTTAAATGAACTTTTGGGAGAGTTGTGAGAGAAATTTCTCCTACACTTCACAAAAGCCTTGAGTCGACCTCCTAGAGACCTTGGAAAGTTGCTACCAAACCGAACATTTTAATGTGACAGAAGTGAAAAATCCTTCAGCATATAACTGGTTGGTAATTGTGTCAACTACTTTTACTTTTAATTAATTTTAAATGTAAATGAAAACAAATTGAGTTTTGGTCATAGCCTAATGCACTACTTTTTGAGGAGTTGTCCCCAGTAGGCATCCAAGCTGACTATGGCTGATTAAAAGCTAAATAAGATTGGACCTCTTAGTGCTTGGATAGGAGACCACCAAATTCTAGGGCTGTAGGCTTGACTTTGAAGTCTTAACAGACAACTCAGAAGACAATGACAAAGAAAATGTCAAGAAAATCACATGCCATCACCAGAAATTGAGCTTGACTCAAAGGAGACCATCAGGCCCAGCCAAGTGGCAGCATTTGGCCAACTTGATCGATCACAACAAAGCTAAGCAGGTCAACCATCCTTAATACATGGATGGGAGGCCATCAGGAAATACCAAGTCAGTAGGTTAAACTGGAAAGTTGAATACATACCATGGAAGAAAGCAGTGGCAAGCCACTTGTGTTGCTAAGAAAACAATATGGACGCTACATAAGATCATCAGGAGTCCAAGCCAATTTGAAGTAAACTTCCTATTAGCCTTTTCTTCCCAACATGCTCCTCAGAAGCTAAGTGTGGCCTCCAGCCCACAAGAAATTGCCCTCCTGTGCTTTGTTAAAGATTCAGGGAGGATGTTGGCTTGGAACAGAGCATTCCAGCTGCACATGATCCAGAAATGGGATGGATCCTCTCTCTCTTTCTTCCTCTTGCAGTTATGGAAGTGCTGATGTTTGGGCGGGATGCCAGCATGGCAGAAGCTTGGCTTTCCAGCCAGGAACCAATTGTGCGCTCCACTGAACTGGGTGACAACGTGGATGAAGTTGAAAACCTGATCAAGCGACACGAGGGCTTCCAGAAATCAGTAGCGGCCTGGGAAGAACGTTTCCTGGCACTGGAGAAGCTCACCACGGTTAGTAAAGGAGCATGCTGGCTTAGCTTATTATGCAAATCCAGCCATTGTGGTTTACAAACCTTGGTTTATAGTTTAGCATAGTTGTATGAACCTGGTTGATTATGGCTTAGCTGAGAAACATAATATGATATATGAACCAACCAGAATGAGACTGGAAAAACTGGAGCAGTTAGAGGAAGTGTCCAAGTCAGTCCTTCCGCAGTTGACTTTGAGGCCTAGTCTTCCCAAACAGTTACGCTGTTGATGTATATCTCTTTTTACTTCCTTAAATTTATATCCTACCTTAATATCAGTCAGGCTCAGTGGATGGTTTGTAAGGGATAGAAACATAAAGTAAAGGAAGCGTCCAAAATAGCTATGCAAGGAACAGATTTGTCCATCCAGAAGACTAGTGCAAAACATGTCTAATTTGAAAGGTGACATAGCAGCACATGTTTTGAGTTCGAAAGTGCTGTTCCAGCCTTGCTGGAAGGGTGCTGAGCTTGGAATGGTCCTCTTTTGAACTTGGAACACTTCTGGAATGGTCAGAACAGGTTCAGAACACTCAGTAAAGTTGGGGCAATCTTTCAACCCTGAAACCTGTTAAATTTGAAATACCCGGCACCTTCTTACAAAAGGCACACAGCACTGCTTTCAGATCAAACAATCCAACCTTAGATTGCAATTCCACTGTCACAAACATCTTCACTCACTGAAGAAACAGCAAAGAATAGGGGTGTGCACATTTTTTTCCCTGACTGAAGCATTCTGACCCTAAAATGCCCTCTTGTGGTCAGGAATGGTTCATTTCGCCATTGGGACATCTCTGATGAAGTTGGAGCTGCTATTCTAAGCTCGGATCATTTTGTCTGTGATGCATTTTACCTAACTTTAACAGTCTTGTGGCATTTGTGAATAAATTCACTAATAAATTCTCATATTAAGTTTTGTGGATCAAAGTTGGTTTCATCTAGTGCATGATTGGCAGATGAAATAATTCCTCCTTTCATTTTTCAAATTACAAGCCTGTCAGCAAAATATTGTGATGGTTAGATTGCTGTTCTAATCAGAAGAGGCATGGATTCAGGTCCTTCACTAGCCATGAAGTTTCCTGCATAATCTGGAGTCACTCACTCTCTCAGCCAAATCTTCCTTGCAGCTTCTTGTAAGGATTAAGGGTGGGTGGCAATTCGGGGGGGGCTGCCTTGAAGCTTAAGAAGAGGCAGGATATATGCAATGACTATATTACAAATCAACTTTACTGATCTTAAAATTATAGTATTCTGAGAGCAGGAAATACATCTCCATTTACAATTTCTTTCGGAAGTCCTTCAGCATTCCTTTAGTGTCCTTTCATAGCACTGAATTCTGGTGGTGGTGGTGAATTCCATGTTTGTTTTTTTCCTCCAGCTGGAAGAGAATGAACATCGGCGGCGTGAGCAAGAAGAAGAAAGGAAGAGGAGGTCTCCAACACCGACACCACTGGAACCCACTGTCATGATGCCACAGACAGAGGACCCAGAGGGACATCGCCCACCCAGCAGTACTCAGGCCAATGGGTAAGAGCTGAGACCTGAGCCCACGTGGGAAGAAGGCAGGTGCAAGAGTGCCAAGGGGACGAGGTGTAGCAAACAAGGTTGAATTTTGAGGATTATGATTACAACACCAGTTTGGGCCAGGCTGCTGTCTAAATTGGTATTAGTGGGAAATAGAAATGGAATTAAGAGCACTTCTTTCTAAAATGTAAAATTAACTTCCTGGAGTCCAGTACCCTCATTCTTATAACCCTTGCTTTGCAAGTATTCTTCACCTTCTGCTTAAAAACTCTACAGAGAGCAAGTATGGTGTAATGGTTAGGGAGTTGAGCTAGGACCGGAGGACCTGAGTATAAATACCGCTTTAGCCATGGAAACTCACTGTTGACTTTGGACCAGTCTGTTTGTCCAACCTACCTCACAGAGCTGTTGTTGTGGGAGAGAAAAATTGGAGGAGGGAATGTTATGCAAGTCTTTAATTTAATAAAGATTAATCTTTATTAAATTAAAGATTTAATAAAGATTTAATAAAGAGAAATAAACATACTTGCAGGCAATTTAAATCTGAGCAAGGCATTTCAGATCAGACTAGTGTTTTGAAATTATGAACTGGTCTCTTGCCACCTTCAGTAACAAGACTGAGGAGTGGAAAGATGGAGCAACAGCCATTGCTGTTCTTCTGGGAAGTGGGGCAGATTGGGGGTGGAGGGAGAAGCAAGAAAATTGGGGCTGAGATGAGGAGGAAGGGGGCTAGTGAGGGAGTGTCCCTCTGAGCAACTGGTCTCAGAGCCTCTCAAATCTTGAATTGGGCCCTTTTGTTGATGAGCAAGAGGCAGGTGAAGTTACACAATTTGAAAGTATGCAAATGAAGATCTTCCCCATTTTAAAATCCATCAGCAACCATAACTGGAGAAATTGTATCCTCCCCACCATGCCCCAGATTGAAATAAGGTAGTTGGATAATTCCAACTCTCTCCTGTCAGTTTTCCAAAGCAGAGAGAATTTGTATGAATGTGAATCCCATATAGAATCCAAATTAGTTTTAAGAACTGGAGAATATGGGAGACAAAAGAGAATGTGTTTCCTTTTGGAAATAAAATAGAAAGGAGAATTGAAGAGAGGGAGTTTAAAAGATGTGACGAGTGATCTTTTGGATGATTTAATGGAAAGCTAAATTGGAAAAATATCTTTTATTTGTACATATACAGGTAATGTATCTGGCTTATATATTAATTTATAAAATATTATAAACATTAACAATATAATGTAGCATTAATAATTAAAAAAGAAAACAAAAAGGCTTAGAAAATGATGTAATCAGCATTAAAATAAATCAACCACAGTGCTCAAAAACCTTCTTCGTTCCCCCATGTTAATACAAATATTGATAGACGATACACACCAACAGTTCAGTGTTGCAAATCAGGTGAATTTTTTTTCTTTCCAGTGTTATATAATTATTTCAGCTGGTTCCCACATGTTAAAATTTTTTGATGTCTTTGTTTTTATAGATTTGGAATACTAGGGATATTGTTTTAAAGCAAATTTAATAAGATAAAGAACTCAGGGAAGAAATGCTCCTGAGTTATTGTGAGTTTTCTGTAGAGAACCTCCTTGACCAGCTTGTAGGTGGAAATCCTGATTTAATACCTTGGCAACAGGGGAATGCTTGCAACAAGGAAGGAAATATGCCTGCAGGGAAGAGCTTTGTCTTTGGTACTTTGAAATTTTGCACTAAATGGCACATCCTTTTCTCTTCCCCAGAAGCTCTGGAGAGGAAGGCTTAGCTCTGGAGTTGCCCTCACAAAATGGGATTGACCCAGATTCTGAATCTCCTCAGGTAATAGGGAATGATCACAAGGCTGGGTGGGAAACCGGAAGAGACGGAGGTGGCTGGTTGGCTCGCAGGACACGAGGTGGAATGGCAAAGTCCATTCTGCCTTGAGCTGGCAGTTGAACTATGATTCTAACCAAACCCCAACTGTTTGATTTCAGATTTCAGAATCACCAGCTGCAGTCAATGGGTCACAACTGGATTCGGTATCCAAGGACAAAGAGCCTAGCCCACCCTCCTCGCCTAAGCTCAGTTCCAAGCCAGCTGTGCTCAGCACGGATCCCAGTCAGTCAGTCACGCTGCCCCCACAAACACCAGACCACTCAGCCCCAGAACAGATGGAAGGGGTGTTATATCGGAAGCAGGAAATGGAATCCCATGGCAAAAAGGCAGCTAACAGGTAACATAGGCATGCCGATGTGAATGTAAAGCTAGGTATGGAAGGACATAACAGAAGATGGTTGGAATATCCCATAATTCCACCTAAGCTGCAGGATCCAGGGATGGTCCTTCATAATTTGCAGGACATGAGAGTGATCTGATAGAGGCTGAGAACCCAGCAGGTTGGAAAGCTGAAGATGGCTGTCCCCAACAGGGAGGATGGGCTCTAAGTGTGTGGACTTCAGCTCCCAGAATTCTTACCCAGTATGGACACTGCTGAGAATTCTGGGAGCTGAGAGCCTTTGATAAAGGAGCTGGGATGGAGGAGGCTGAGTGCATCACTGTAGGTTCTCCCAAGACTCTCCTGCAAAATAATAAGACTCTGTAAAATAATAAACAAACTTGGGAAAATATAAGAAGTGCACCAGCAGAACTCAAAGAGATGATGATGATGATGATGATGATGATGATGATGATG